TACGCGTTTAAAGCAGCAATTTTTCCCCGTCGTTGAAAAGTTTTACCGATCTGTTTCCGACACGAACCATTCGGAGAAATAGTCAGCGATAAGTAACAGGATAATTGCTCGAGAACAGGTTGGAACGAAACGGTAAACGATAATGAAGGTATGAAGAATTCTTTATAGAGCGCGTAACTGATCTCAGCTTGAACTGCGACTGTTGCTCTGGTTGGCAACAATGAAAAAAAAAAAAACGTCGCTTTCGGTGGGACGTATAATGCGCAGTCGATAAATCATTGCACTCGGCGGGACGGTGAGCTAACGTTTGGTATTTTGGTACAAACTCCGCGGGGGTTTAGCACCCCTGCAGGGCATCCCTGCTGCTGTCGCACGCTTCAACGACGTGATTCGTTCGAGCCTCGAGGTGTTTGCCACGCGAAACGTTAGTTCGCGAGATATTTCGTCTGTGGACAGTTAACCCTTTGCCTTATAACATCGAGTTAAACATGTACACCATTCATTTTCTTTGAGTTGAAGTGAAATTCTGTTTCATTGGTATTAATATTTAAGATTTAGAGTAAATGTTACACCTGCCCTAAAGATAAAATTCCTTTCTCTTATCTGGGAAATTATTAACGATAAACTAATGCTTGAAAGCACAGTCGTCAAGAAAATCGTAAGGCATTAGGGGTTAAGCATCATTTCGGTCGCGTTGTCGCAATTTACACGGTCATTCAGTGGACATCGATCGTGAAGAAAAGAGTAAGACAAGGAAAGATTCACCGGGAACGCCGGCGTCAAAGGATCTTCGGTACGTAATGACGGTAAGCATAGGAACCGATTCGAGCGTGCAATCTCGGCTTGGAAAAACGAAAAACACAAAGTGTTGCATTGTGTTCAGCACGAGGAGGAAAGTAGTCGGGTTAATAGAATCGAGTCCGTTAATAATCGTTCTTCCACTTTGCTCGAGTGGCGTGCGTTAAAGCCTCGAGGTGTTGACCAGATCGAGTATTGTTCATCTTTCCCATGATGGTCCGGTGAATGACGCTCGGCCGCGATGATACGTCACGATAATGGCCGGTAATTCGACGTGTACCATCTCTGGGGGGGAGGCTCGTGCGCGCGCGCGCGCGTTCTACGAGGAATATTGTTTACAGCGACGATACCGCGCGCTGGGAGAGAGAAGTCTTGGCTTTTCAATTATCGAACCTTCGAGCGATACGATGATGATGGCCGATGGAAGGAAGAAGTCGTGTGCACCAGTCCGTTGCACGCGGTCGGTAAACCCACACGCATGGTTGTATATCTCTACTAAATTGCAGCCTCGATCGGACTCTATTGCCGCTGTGTACCATACGAACGGATATCGTGATTCCCCTTTCCTGTTTTCGGAGTCCACACTCGAAATCTCGAAACTCCCGTACGCCAACGATTCGATCGGTTTCGCGATTTTCTTCCTCGTTTCTCTCCTAGTCAGGATGGGAAAGTTTCGATACGAGGCGGAATTCCACGTTACCTGTTCGACGGTGAATAATTCCGTCGTCGACGATACTACGCTGGAATAATGACCGATAATTCGAGGTAGTCGGTCTCGCGCGTGCAATACGAACACCGTCTACAGCTACGAAGCCAAGGGGCGGTTAGGGTTTTCAATTATCGGACCTTCTACGATAACGACGCTGGCCGTTGGAGTTGCGTACGTGTATTTCACTTGGGGTGGCCCCTCAACCTCTCCTGATCGAGGCTGCAAAATTGCATCTTTGATCGCTTAATGGAAACCTAGTGCGCGGTGCTCGCGATTGCGAATCTTTACCATGAAAAACTTTTTCGTTAATTAGACGAAGTTGCTCTTTAGATCGATTCGGTGTAATGTTTACGAATCACGCAGCGGCTCCAACGATCGTGGACGGTTCGATGGATCGTTGGCGATAAAAAAAAATGCAGCAGCTCTTTGCTGGATTCGACGACAAAGGATATGTGTCTGCGCTTGCGACGTGCATTCAGCGTTCAAGGCCTCGAAAATTGATCGATCATACGCGAAAACGATTTTCCAAGACCTGCGCATCGAACAGGCACAACAGCGGCCATACTGTCAACCCGAACATCTGCCACTCTTGGTCCCCGCGCTTCCAATGGGACACGTTGTACGAACGAGTTTTCGAAAGGGTGTTTACATGTCGGGACTTACGACGTGCTCGACAAAAATAATTCATTAAGCCGCTGCGCGCAGACTGCGGTGGGCGTGACAGCAATCGGAAGGGATTTTGTCATCGGAGAATGGAGCATACGAGTCGATAAACGTCGTGTAATGTTAAAATTTTTCCGACTACGTTACATTGTCTTCATATCGGAAATTGAATATTTTTCGTACGTTAACGTCTACTCTAGAATTTTTACTTCGATGTAACGTTACTTTTGAAAAGGAAAAAAAGGTACGGTGGGCAAACTGTACGTTGCGAAAGCAAAGCATTTGCGGTTGGCCAACGGTGCCCATTCTGGTCCTCGGGAAATGTGTTCACAGGAGGAACAAATTAGGATGACATCCCCGTTGCATCCGGTGCTCCAGGTAAATCCTCTTAGGTCACATAAAAAGGCCGTGTCGAGAGCTTTCATCCCCTCCAGAGTGACGGAGGACGTATTTTTGCGACAAACGCAGAGCGCCCGTTCGCAGTCTATTGTTGTCCTCGAAAATGTCAACGGGACGTCGCTTAAAAGGACACTTTTACCCTACGAATCGGATTATCGGATTACCAGTGTGGAAGTGAAGTGGAGCGAGGTTTCGAGGATCCTTGGACTTTGGCGACGACAGGAGAGTTTTGTTCGTGCTTTCGTCGACGTAGCTATCGTTAATTGCTGCGTCTCGGTTCCACGCTATTCTTACATTTTCGAGGGTACAGTGGACACCTACAAGAGATGCATACAACCTATGCGTTAGGTGTAACTGTATCGAAACACGATGGCAGTTTATATCTGCAAAAAGGGTTATGAGTTTACAGCCGACCGCGGGGGAAATATTACGTTCGTGCAGGAAGCGACGGGGCGCGGTGAATTTGGTCTATGAATTAATAACGAGAATTCAGACAATATTCCCTGTTCCCACGATCAATGTAATACGTATCGAAGTAACGTCGATCGATCGTCGACGGGAACTCGACAACCTAGTCGCCGGTCGGACTACTTATAGGTGGACGTATTTGCCCCGGAGAAACTTCCGTCGACGTTTGATTAATTGATGAGAGAAATATCTACGCCGGCGGACGATGAAAATTTTTAAAATGCCGCTAAATGTTGCCAGTATTGTTCAACTTTCATACGCAAATAGAACAGCACGAGTTAACGAGAGAACGACGGGACTGCATGGCGTGACAACGAACGATCGGTGAAAACAGGAAAAACGTATGAAAAAAAGGAAAATTCTTTGGCAAGCTAATGCCTGTCCCTGTTGCGAGGATCGAGTGACGAGAGGAAGTATGTATCGTGTTACCATCCCACGCATCCTGTCAAGTGGATGCTCCTCGTGCACAAAGAGGAGCAGACAAATAATTGGCTCCTCGAGCGTACAGGTAGAGGGCCATTCCCTTTGATCCCTGAGAACCTTGCGTAAGGACCATTATACGAAGGATACTCGATACATTGGGATCGGGTGCTTCGACGACGGGAACCGAAGAAAAGAAACGAAGGGGAATAAATCGTTTGCTACAATCCGAGATTTTCGACGATTTCGCGTATTTCTCGGGATCACAGTAGATACAGAACGAGGGATCGAGGTTGTGCCATTGAATTGATGTTTCAAAAGCCACCGATGACCGACGGCGGGTGCGAGAACGAGGCGACGGCGCACAGCAAAAAGAGCAAGATCGCTCGTGAAATGGAGCAGGAAGAGGCTGTTCGTCGGGACGCACGGAGGACTTTCCGCCGAGATTAATTTTCGGTACGACACGCACCGACAGGGAACTTTTCTGTTGACTTAATTAATACTCGTGCGCGTCTCTTTTTCGATGCCACGGATTTAATTACTTTTTTACGTCGACTCGTAAATCATCTCGGCGAGGCCACGGCAGCGTCCTTCCTTCTTGCCGAGTCATAAAATAAAAAAGTTCCAAAACCCGTACGCGGGAAGCGAGCGAGCGAATCGGGACATGTGTTGTGTCGAGGGAGCATACAAAAGCTGGCCTCGTACCGCTCGGACGACGGTTCACTGGCGAGACGGACGTGGTTCCCGAGACCGCCGCTTCTGTCAAAACAGAACAGATCATCTCGGATGATCTGCCGGATTACAGACGGTGCAAGCCGATAATGCTGCGCCGCCTCAGGTAGTCCCGAGACCCTTGTGCCTGGACAATGTCGACGATGTGGTGGCCGGTCTACCCGTCGAAACGACGACACATCATTTTTTTGTTTTTCTTCATCGTACGGAGCGATTAGTATCGACGTAATTGTCACAGGAAGTCCACGATTAGCGACTCCTAATCTACTGACTTACAGTTACCACAAGTGCATCCTATCCACCTCTAAACATAATCGACGAACGGTTGAAGCAGTTGACGGGCATTGTCGGAAATGTGGCTAATTTGACCCCTCGACAAAATCTTTGATTGTTATCTGGAAGCCTGTCGAAGGCTTCTCGGCAAAGGTGACAAGACGAACAGTAGCACCTGACCCGCAAGATCAACTATTCGTGATCTACCTGAACGGATTAAGATCCCTATCTGGGAATAGGCTGAGTAATTGACCTTGCCTCGAGGAGATCGAAGGTTGACAGCTACCCTTGCCCCGAGAGGCAGGTTTGGGCTTTAAAGGCCACGATCGCGGTATAAATCCGGCCATTGGTTAACTCCTAATCTGGACCGTTTACTCCCACCGCCGGAGGAGAATTCTGCAGACCAGTCGCAGTTAGTCTACGATAGATACCTGCTCGAGATTATACCCAGGGTACAAAATCGAATCACAGTCCGCGAGGAATTAGTAGATCGTTCTTTCGCGCACGCGATAAACTCGACGAAATATCGTGGACTCACCACATGTCCATGAACCGGTGATTTGGCGATCGACTGTAACTGCGGATAAAGTTGACCAGCCGCAGCCGGTGTCATGTCGGTCAACATCTCGTTGACGGTTCTCAACGACTAGACCCAGTTGCTCGTGGAATCCTGTCGGTTGTCGGTTGATCCCCTCGACGAAATCTTAAGGACCCGTCGTCCCCGACGATCACGGACGCGTTCTCGGCGTCCAATGTCTCTATTTCGAAGCACACTTCACTTTCCGATATATCACAGGATGATTCGAAAAACTAGTGTCGATAAGACCAACGAAAAAACGGGTCGTGGAGGACGTGTCCACGGCCGTCGGATGCGTAAAAAAATCGAGTGGGTCGAAAACGTTTCTGGTGCTTTGGGGAAAACCGGTTAACGTGGTTCCCGTTCTTCGCCCCGTGACAGACTGCCGGCTATCCGATCGGCTTTGCCCCAACCAGACAGGGGAATGGTAGTAGGGAAGCTAGCAGGACTTCGGCCCCCGGGCAAAAAAGGGGCAGAGCCTGCTGGGCGGAACCCAGACCTAACCAGTTACCGCCCCTAACCGCCTCCGTACCGTGCCTGCTTCCTCTTTACTTTATTTATCCCCACCGATTTTCCTCCCACTCTCCCCCTATCAGTCACTCTCTCTTTCTCTCTCTCGATCTACCTCTCCTCTGGTGCTGTCTTTCTTCTCTGGTTGGTCTCTGTTTCTCTTGTGCTCTATCCACAACCCTCCCTCCGATGGTTTAACTGTGAAATGCGCGCGCACACAGCCACCACCGCCGCCAAGAGGAGGCACGCGTGCTCCAACTTTGGTGGTGCCCTCTCTTTGGACGTTTCATGCCTCATCGAGTCTCTTTCCACGTTTGTCGTCCAACCTCTTTCTACCCTTTATTCTCCTCTCGCCACGCCGCTTGTTCCAGACCCGAGGCTTACGTGACCCGAAGTTGTCGTATTAGGCCTCAGACTCGTTGTTTCGCGTAACGGTATGCGGTGCCGTTGGTATTTAAATACCGACACGCCGTGTTATCCGATACCAGCGAAACGAGCAAAGTTCATCGACCGGACCGACGCCGTTGTAATTGATATACAAATCGGAATCGCGTTTCACCGTTTCCAAGTTAATCTAATAACTGCCAGGCGAAACGAGAAACTGAAAATCGACTCTTGGAAACGCTTTAATGTACAAACTTCGATTGAATTCCGTGGCAAGGAGAGTTGGTGAGCGTCGGATGCCCGTGAACGTAGCCTCTTGTCTGCCCACGTACGGTCCTCGTTCTACTTGCCGCGATTCCGTGAATTATAATAGTCGACCGTTGGTCACGATTCTTCGGAAAAAGAGTACAGGACCTGTTCCACGATCTTTGTATACTGCCCAGTCGATTATCTCTTGATCTACAGCGACATTTGCAACAAGAAAAAATTAAATTAAACGGAGCCGCCCTTGGTTTCGGAGCATTATAACGTTGCTCGAGGAATTCATGCAAAGGTAGCATAAAAAGTTCGCGGTATGCCGTATTACGGGGCGTCTAATGCGATTTTAATCGTGCAGTTTGAATTTCAAATTCTATCGACTCCGCTCGTATAAAGCAGTTCAGTGTACACTGGGTTGAATCTGATATATGGGCTCTATTATGAGTGTTTCTCCATTGGCGTGCTTCTTCAAGTTTCGACGACGATTCCCCTAATTATGCAATACCCCGAATGGATACGTGCCCGAGTATAAGCAATCTTCCGCGTGGAGCGTCCTACGCCACTGATCGGAGTCGGAAGGGACGACGCGTTGGGGTCGCATTAGGTCCTAATTTTCCATAATGGCAGAAGATCGAGGCGCCACCGTGGCGAGGCGGTGGTCGTCTGATCGCGACCCATTCACAGCCGCATGTTCCCTGAGTCGGACCCAAGACTTCCGCGGTTTCAATTCCTCAATGATGCTCAGAGTGTCTTCGAGTTCTGTAGAATACCACGTGTAGACGCTCATAAAAATCGACACGATATTAATATAACAAACACTTCGCGGAACGCAGGGCATTATCGATAACAACCCCCACCCCTCCCTTGGCTCAAAGAGACGATGATGCGTAGATCGCGTGCGATCGGGCCACAAAAGGTGTGATCTGCCCCACCTCTTCGAGGTCAGAGGATAGCCGGCTACGATTATGGGAAACGCAGAAGAGGGATGGTTTACAATGAATCGGAGCAGCACAGTCGGGCGTTAACGTCTTTTGAAAGAGCAAACGGCTTGGATCGTGCAAATGAGGGTGCGAGACCGTATTCAAGGGGGTTGCTTTTCTATCTTTGTGATCGATGTTGCGTTCCCTGTTTCCCGGTAACATTTTTAGATTTTTGGATAAAAATACGAGCCCAGTGATTTATTACCGCCAGTATCGCGTACTTGGACACGCACAGGCCGACGCGAGAAGAGGGAGGAGGATCGAGGGAAAAGTCGATCGGTGAGCGACAATTGATTCTCTCGGTAACGATCGAGCGATATCGACGCCAGGAAATGACGGATCGCTGATTTGCTGAGACGGGCTGAACGGGGTTGAAAGGGAAATGGGGCCCACGGGCCTGACGGGGGCGGATAATGACAGGGCGGCCTCGCGAAGCTAAAATGGTCCGCGTTGGGACCAGCTCGGCCTTTGCCTCGACTATACGACCATGTGGCCATCGGGAGATGCTGATGGACTAATAATTACCAAGGAACCAGCGCTTCGCATATAGCGGCTGGGACCGACGAAAATGAAGATTCACCAGACCAGACTGGAACCAGAACCGTCGTACCGGTCCGCTATCGTTGTGTAAGGCTTGCCAGTAGGTTGTTCGTGGACGAAAAGGTGCTTCGAGTTTAATAACTAGTGCGTCCGCTATCTGTTTGGTCTATCGGGCTCGACGGGACGGAAGACGGAACATCCCCCCATTATGTTAATACGAAAGATTTAAGCTTGCGACACGACCGATTGTGTTCCAGCGATTATAATTTATCGCGATCGTGATACCACGAAATCATTAACAAGCTGGGAAACATTAGCAATTGCGCCTCAGAAAATATAATTCGTACCATCGACACTACCCAGTGGCGATTAGAAAATGCTGCGTTTTAACTGGATCGCGCGACATGTGTCGGCCAGTTCCAATGGTCGTTTCATAAATCAAACACTCGCGTGGAGTATGTAATGGAAGAGCGGTGATACCGTGCAAACACTCAATTGTTAACTCTCCGGTGACGGACGAACGGGTTTAACGGATTAGGTTTACGGTGACAGTATGAAACGAGAGTTTTCGGAGTTTCGTCGAAACCACCCTGATTCGTGGTCGATAATGTTCACCGTGCGAGTTATTTCTAGCGTGGAACACAGTCACCCGGTTGGTCAGGTCGTTCTAATTGTCGAAAAGAATTATAGCGATACTCTCTCTAGCCACGGTCAAATAAATAATTCCCGCGGGTTCGTTTTGACCGTTGTCGGCGATTCGTCTCTCTGCGAACGGACGGGGTGGCCGAAGGGAGGCGCGTAGAAGCATCTCTTTGAGGCTTTTAAAGGTCGAGCAGCACGTTTTGCCGTGAAACAAGGCGAAGAGAAACTTGTCTAGGACTGATTTACGGACTCGTTCGTTGGCCAGGCCGAGTCGGGGTTGGCGTGCACAGCTCCGCGGTTCCGTCTACATCGTGGTCCGGAATAGAGAGACGCTCCCTGACCAGATTTATGGAGTGTTCCACGGGGAGGAGAGAAGCCGATCCTCCGTAATTCACGCGGCTCTCGGTTGTTCTGTCGGCGCGTAATCCGCAAACAAGGAACTACTCTCACGGAGCACTTCTACACCGATGGGAAGACGATCGCGCGCCGAATCGACCGTAATGGATACGCGGTTTACGTAATCGTGCATACGGATCATGGTAATGAATGGCTTATAAAAGTAAAGCCATCGCGACAGAAACGGAAATTACCGCTATTATAAGCAACTCTATCAAGTAAACAATACAAATAAGCGTTTAATAACACGTCGGTTAGGAGAGATAATGGGAAATAGTTATTAGTATAATTACTACGAATGATAATAATTATAGATCGTGGACGGGAAAGCATCGTAACGGCGACACTAATCTACGGTCACTTAGTTCGCGAACACCGGGAGGCAACTAGATATTTTTTTTTAGTTTTTTTATCGAATCGAACGACAACGAAGGCTGCGCGTGGGACCTCGAATCGTATGTGAGTCAGGTGCGCATCTTTTTCTCGATTCTCCGACGAATTATAGGACGTTCGGTGATGTGGGCGAAATCGGCGGGTGTTTCACTTCCGGAACCGCGCGACACAGAGAACTAAAGGGATGAGAGAAGCGTGAAGAATTAACGCAAAAAGGGGGAAACAATTAGCCGGGCGAAGGACCGCCGACAAATTCGCGCGCATGTTCGCTGGAAGTTGAGATTGCAAAATGACGTGCAAACTGAGGGACGCCCTCGTCCGCCCCCTGGCAATACGGTAATCACTATAATTACGTATCGAGCCCTTATATTAATATCCCCCAGCTACGTCTCTCTTTCTCGCTTTCGTTCTCTCTCTTCTTTCCCGTCGATTCTTCGTTGGTTCGTTCGCCTTAGCCACGTGAAAGTCGACGTTTTTTCCCGTACCTTTCACGCAAGCCGATCGGCTCCTATTTATTGTTGCCGTGAACGTCATTTTGTTCGTTAATTAACGCTTTCGAGACGCGCAACGTTTCCATCGGCGGTAACGCGCGACGCGTCGCAGAGCTAGTTTGTAAATTCACGGTGAGACGCGCCACTATCGGGACCTAGCAATCAACTACGTACACACGTACCATCGCGAGCAAATTCTGCTTCCACTAGGGGAAAAAGCAATGTAAGGGTAAAGGTCTCCTACCGATTCATAAATTTATTTCAAATTGTTGAAACAAATGTTAAACCGAATGTTAAGCTGGCATAAGTTTCAGTTACTCCGTGATAGGTTGTATTTCCTTTACATCACTTTTTCCCCTAGCGGAAATTGAGTTTGTGTCCACGTTTTGTCATAACCTGGACGTGTGAATCGAGCAGCGGACCTTTCTTCAAATTCAATTCGAAAATCCAATTG